TTGAAGCATTATGCCAGTCCCCTTGTTTTCCATTACTTATTTGCTATGTGGCAGTAGCCCTTGTTATCTGAGACCCCAGAGACGTTCTGTTTTGTCCAGTGAAAAATAGAAACAGACCCATTTTGACAGGTAGAATGTTATCTAAGTACGTAGTGTTCTTACTGTTTTAGAAAACGCACAAGAAAGCGGCATTTGCGCTGGTAGTTAAGATAGAGCGTAGCTGTCTGTATCCTATATTGAAATGCTTCCTACTAATGCAGACACTCAGTTTAATGACTTGACTATTTACCTTCTTGCAACCCACATGGAAGACTAAGTTGAGTTCCGGTCTCTAGGCTTTGGCCTGATGAAGCTACAGACACTGTGGACATTTCAGGAGTGAACTGGTGGATAGGAAATCTCTGTATCTCTACCTTTCAAGTAAAAACATTGTATTTACAAAATTAAAAACAGGTACTTGGCACCTCTTGCAAGATTCTGCTTGGGGTCCCTGCATCCTGCTGAGCACACTCTAGGGGCCAGCAGGTGATACCTCCAGTGGTTGGGTCCCAGCGGCCCTGAGGGAGACCTATATTGAGCTTGCAGCTCCTGACTTTGACCTGGCCCAGCCCTGGCTGCTGGGAGCATTGGAGGAGGGGAACAGCAGATGACTTCTCTCTCTCTCTGGATCTTTCCTTACTGAATAAAAATATGAAATGTTTATAAAAATCGTATAAATATACTTCAAAAATGTATGGGAAATGAAAGCAAAAATGTTTATTTTTATGCAAAAAATTGCAATTCGTGCATATGATAGGTCTTCAACAAGATAATAGAAAATGCATACCATGAACACAAGTATGTGTGGATTTAAAAATTTTTGCCTCAAAATAAACTTCTCTTTGAATTGCATTTTTCCTTGAACTTTTGTAATGCCCTCAGATATCTATACATTCTAGCTGCTTTGAAAGCCAGCCTACTTAATTAGGTGTCAGCAAATTAGTAGAATCTGTTGTATCTTCAGCCCTGAAAATATCTTAATGTTCCATACTTGAAAGACCATTGAATTAATTCTTTTTCCTACAGCAGAATCTCAATGTGTTAAAAATAGTATGCTTGAAAACAATTTGGTTTTTAAAATGTCTTACTATTTTTATCTCATTGAAAGCTTCTCTCTAAATTTCATTTATGAAATCATTGCCTGCTAATTCAATTCTTTTATGCTCAGTAACTATCGATGCTTTCCTTAGCAAACAGTGCTGAGCTTCATTCTCCATGTTTTTCTTTATTTAAACCTAACGGACCGGTACTTGAGATTCAGGTTGTTTCTGTCAGCTGATACATGCTTATACTTTATATGTGTAGCCAAGGACCTGATCCGCTTGCTATAAAGAACATGATAATCCTGTTGGGCCACACTTTGCTTCAGCTTCACTATTCCCATTGAATTTGCACCATGAGCTGATGAAGTTTGTAATCTTGTTGCCCCCAGTTTACAGAAGAGAAGAGTGAGGCAATGGATAGGGAAGAGGCTTTTGCATTTGACTCAGCTGGTGCGTTGTGGAACCATGATTCAAATCCCAGCAGCCTAATTTCCAGCATCTTTGTGACCTTGAACTCCCTAATGAACTCTGAGGCAACCCATTTTGCATTTTGTGGCAGCTCTTACCTACAATATGTAAAGAGCAAACAGATCAGAACACCTGTTCTTTTTGCCCAATAACAGTGACGCCTGAATAATTCTGTGTTGCAAGTTTTAGAGGAACGTTATTACTTAGTGCTCTGTTCTTGCCTGTAGAATGAACACATCCTGAAAGCATGGGGCTATATCTCTCAGCTATATAAACATTTTTTCATAGTTTCTAATGTAACATGCAAGAGCCAGTTGGTAATTGATTTGATGTTTGCCCAATCCTGAAGAGGAGTCTTAGGGAAGCCTAGGATGGGGACAGCCAACTACTCAGTGTCAGATTGGAAACATTGTGGAGATGGAGTGTTGGACTGAATCCCAGCCCTGACGCTACTATCAGTTCCTTAGCTTCTCTGTTCCTCATTGTTCTGCTCTGTTAAATAAGAATAATAATGGTACCTTTGTCATTAATGTAAGTTCAGACAGCTCAGAAAAGGAAGGTTCTGAGCAAATGTCTCAGTACATATTATTCAGTATATATACTGTGGGTGTATGTATATGTTTGTATGTGTGTGTGTGTGTGTGTGTGTGTAGAATGCTGTCTTTATTCCTGGTTTTCTATGACCTTAAATCTTCCTCAGCATGTGTTCTCTTATTCTGTCTCTATCCGTGCACTTGCTTGAGTTTAACCTTTCATATTAATCACCTTGTCTGTCTCACGGGTAGCAGAAAACCCATGAAAAGTGACTTAAACAAATTCTATTCAAAGAATGATGGCTCCACTGTGTCATCAGCATCCCTCCAAATGCCTGGGAGCCCTCATGTTTTTTTCTGACACATGTGGAATCCGGTTAACACTCCTCTGCTCCAAAATTGAACAAATAGGAAGCAGGAAGGCAGAAACAGAAGGGAGACAAGAGAGCCAAGTATTTTCCTTCATAAAGTCTTTACCTGAAAACTTCCCTGTGATGTCCACCTACCAATCATAGAGAGTTGAACAAGTGACCATGTGACTTCTCTCAGTTATAAGAAACATTACAGATTATATGTTATTTTAAAAGCAGGGAGTGTTGTTTTCATGAGCGGAATTGAGGTTCTGTTGTCATGGAACCCAACTTGTAAATCTCTTAAAATAAACCAAACAAATGTATTCAGTGTCCCCTGCCTGTTCCTAACTACATGGGGACAGTTGATATGTTATGGAAGTTAAACTTATCTGGAAGGTCACGAGAGTTAGTTCAGTAGAAGCTGGGAGCCAAGGATACTTGAGTACCCCAGAGAGCTGTTGTATAGTTTACCCTTGTCCCATCAAAGGATTGCAACCCTGGTGAGTTGAATACAATTCCAATTGGGCCACTAACTCTAGAGGTTAGGCAGAGAAGTCTGACTCTTGGCATACCTTCAACATAATAGTTAATAGTTAAAGCTGTGCCCCCATAAGATTTTACTTCATAAATGACTCTTGTGTGTGGAGAGGTGGTTATTTCAGACCTGTGGTGGCGAATGTACAGTGGAGGTAGAATTGAAGAAGACACTGGTTGAAGAAGTGGAGTGCAGAGCAATAATGAACTAAGAGCCAAGTACCTTCAAGTGCATCCTAACGTTGTCCCTTGGAAACAGTAACACCTTAGACAGGTCACATAACCTTTCTCAATCTCTTGTTTCTGGCCTTTTTTTTTTTTACACTTTTTTGAAAAAAGGAGTTAGTAACATCTTCATGCACATGTTGTAATAAGCGTCCTTAATGCGGGAAGTCCTGTGCCTGGCATTTGACTGATGGTGGGGCAATGCTGGCTTTGGTGCTTTTATTGCACAGCCAGGTTTCATCAGTCAGCAGGTGCTCCTCAGCAGATACTAACTCTGCCATTACTGTGAGCCCTATTGGACTGCTGGTCATGATCTGCATTTTTGTTGAAGAAAGAGCTTGGTACATGTAGGAGTATGGGTGGAGAAATTAATTTTTCGAAGCAGCAACCACAAGGAAATGCCCTGAGCTCTTGATGTCAGTGGCAGCAGGAAGCCTGCCGTGTCAGCTAAACTGTAGGTTTCTAATGCTCACTCGAGGCCACCTTGAAAAAGCTCACAATGGCAGGCTTCATTTCTCCAAGTTTCACCTTCCTCATATATAAAATGAGGATGTGCATAATGCCTCCCTCCAAGGGCTGTTGCAATGATGATGCCTAGAGAGCCCCTGGTGCATAGTAGAGATCCAACAAATGCTGCCTATAATGAGAGATGTCGTTTCCCACCCCCTGCACCCAAGCAACAGTGGGACTTTCAGGTCTTAGTTATGTCTGGCTGTGTCAGCTCCAGCAATCCCATAAAAGCTTGAACTAGAGCATAAAGTACACATGTAATCATACCAGGTCCCCAAACGACCCTGTGATAATGTGATTAATAATGAGTTCTTAGATGGTAATAGTGTTTTTAGGTGCTTCTACAGAGTTGTAAATTTCACTGGCTTCAGTTCTTATGAAAGTGAGGCTGACAGCTTATTGCCCAAAGAGCAAACAGCACAATCTGCTTATGTTGATGTTCTAAGTTCCTTAAAGAGCCTGGTGTCTCAGGTCAGAACTTCACTTTTGTTGTCTCTTGGCCAGGAGACAGGCTGGGATGGAGTATACATATTCTTGGTTATAATTGCTGAGATGTAAGAATGTTTGACTAAGAATAGGGGAAAACCTCAGCATAACTCATGTTCCTGGAAAACTGTCCTCAGGAAGAGAAGTGACTAAACTTACAGCCCAAAGCATTGTGTCTGACCAAAGAAAGATTGCAACAGGCCCATTTAACATTAATCTTCCCTAATTTCATGGTTTTGTCCAGGACTGGACCAGGGGCCAATTGGATTGCTTTGACCTCCAGCCATCTGTGCCTGAGAACATAAAGCAAATGGCCAATGGCATCAGATGGTTAATGATCTCAGATGTCCCCTGCTTACTGCTGGAAAAAAGAAAAGAGCCCCCTGGAGAAATAATCATGGATGCTATTCTGAGTGGTGCAATTATTAGTATATATTCAAGAAAGCCATATTCTTTCAGTTATTCTGTTAAGAAAGGGAACGTGGAGAGGGAGGGGGGAGCTGTGCCAACAAGGCAGTGCAAAAAAAGTCTCTATAAGGTCAAAAAGATAGGTATCAGGATTCTATTCAGTGGCCATGGAACAAAATCATTATGAGGGTCTTGTTTGGGTTGGGTCAGGTTTGCTCTGGCAGAATGTTTGCCTAAGGGTGAGTCAGACCTTCTGACCTTAAGCTTGTGAATTGTATTAAACCATTCCCTGGGTGTTTTTTTGTCATAGCTGCAGATGTCTCCTACTGACCTTCCTGTGGTTGTGTCCTCCATTTGCCAGTTGTAAAGTTTGTCTCTTATTTGCCTTCTCTTTCCTCCAGCTAGTGAGACATGCAACGACTTCCATCCAATGTTTTTCACCCACGACAGATCTTTCGAGGAATTTTTCTGCATCTGTATCCAGCTTCTGAACAAAACATGGAAGGAAATGAGGGCAACTTCTGAAGACTTCAACAAGGTAGGGTCTTAGAGATCTGAGATGGAGACAAGAGCATCTTGTGTCATGAAAAGTGCATCATCCACTTTCTTGCATGTTGGGGGAATGAGGAAGACTATAGTTTTAGGTTGTTTTAAGAGTTGGGAAAGATATACCTATGTGGACATGAACCTGTTAGTGCTGGGGTTATCTCTCTAGAGATAATCAGCTGTGTTGCTTCTGACTAAGCAGAGTCCCTTTTAGGGGAAGTGTTGAGGTGAACTTCCATTTTTCATGGCATTCATTTGGGTCTTCTCAATAATATAAGGTCTGTTGGGGGAAGGTGCCTTCTGTCCACCTAAGAGAAGGAACTAAGTAAATTGTATGTAGAGTAAGCATTTGATTCTTTGAGCTGAGGCATCTTTTGGCTTTCCAGTTAGTACTTTGCCCTGCAAGTGTGAGACTTTATTTCCATTTATGCTTGAATGTTGAGATAGAAAAGTGTTGACTGACTCCAAGAAAACAGAAACACTGTCCATGATTTTCGTGATAAGTAAAATCTTTATACTTCACCAAGGCTAGTAACAACTGGTTTTATGGTTAGTATGGGTGTATTTTGACCTTTCACCATCATGATGTGCTTCTATATAACCCTGAGTGTGGCTGGCCCATCACCCATGCTCATTCACCTGGTGCCAAGGATGTAATTATTAAGAATCTAGGCTCAAAGTCATATGTGGGACCTTCATGAAATCCTGCATCATGTGTCATTGAATAACTGGGGCTCCAGCTACACTTCCTTGTTCCCCTCTCTCAATTCATACCTCACACTTTTTCCTGCAGTATTTCTGAATTGTAGCATCTTGAACCAATACTAGTTTGGGGGAAGAAAAAAGGAAATGCAGGAAATGGATGTACCTGGTCTTTAAACAGATTCTAACCTGACCAGCTTCCCCAGCCTGGTGCTGTCAGCTGCTGTTAAGGCAGACAGATCATTCCTTGAGTTGCTTATCTTCTCTTTGTATCTTGGGTCATCTAGTGAATCCGTAGAAATAGACCCCAGCATTGCCCTGCTGTGGACCACACTGAGATCTGGAAGCCACAATCTAGAACTAAACTTGCTGTGCCTGCAGTGAGGCTTGAACCCAGGAGGAATCAAGTGCGGGAAGGAAGCCCATTCATGTGATTAGAACTGCCACCTCCCAAGTGCACTTCATTTGATTGTGAGAGATGTTGCAATTCAGGTGCAAATCATCCTTGGGAGAGAGGGAAGGAGGAGCTGGCTGGCCTTTGTACTATTAAATCAAAAGGAAGAGGAGAGCTAAATCAGTAGTCTTTCAAAGTGGCCATGGCAACTCTGCACTTACCAGTGCCACTCTTCCCACCCTGCACTGGGAGTGCCATCCTGTCCACAGCCCTGTGTGCCAGCACACCTGCTCCTGTAGGAGAGCTGCCTCACTGATTACCATGTATTATGTCACTGGTCAAGAATAGAAACTAGTTATGAATCAGTCATTGATAGGAAAAACAAGGAGTTTTAATATTCTTAACTAAATATTTTTACTGTTTGCCTTTTCTGCTTACTTTTGTGACCAAAAAAGCGCATCATATATATGCACTTTTGTCACAAGTGTAATCATTTTCCTGTTGCTGCTCTAACAAACTACCACAAACTTGGCAGCTTAGAGCATCCACACGTACTGTTGCACAGTTTTGGAGTTCAGGGGCCAAAATGGGATTCAGTAGGCTGGACTCAAGGCATGGGAAGAGCCGTGTTTATTCCTGGAGGCATGAGGAAAGAAGCCCATTCAATTTCCTGGTCTTTTCCAGGTTCTATAGGCTCCTGCGTTGCTTAGCTCATATTCTCCTCGTCCACTTTCAAAGCACCAGTCTTGGCCAATGCTCTGTTCCCCTTCTCCTTGATCCTCAACGTTGTAAGGATCCTTATGATTATGTTGGACCACCTGCAGGAACCTTGATAATCTCCCTATCTGGAGAGCAATGGACATCAATCTTAATTCCACCTGCAACCTAAATTCTCCTTTGTTGTTTAATGTTACACATTCGCTGGTTCTGGGGATTGGAACACAGGCATCATTGAGAATGCCATTATTTTGCCCATCACAAGGTGCATTTGATTTGTAACTCTATTGGATTTTTAGGAGTGTAGATCCGTTTAAATTAATGTAATGCCGACAGATAAGTCTTTTGTTTGTTAGCTCTTTGTGCTGCTGAATGTAATCCTGGTCACAAAGTTCCGCTACTGGCTGCTCAAATACAGATATAATTATGTTATTGTTCTTTTATGTCCCTGTTCAGCCTCCACCCGCCTTTCTTAAAGAAGGGACCTGGGCGAGAGCCTGTAGTTCAGTGGGAAGACTGGTTTTCTGATTTTTTCCCCCGCCACCTCCCTATCATCCACTGCGTCCCTTTACCCGATAATAAGTTGAAGAGAGAAGAGCTGAAATTGAAATCACTTTTCTTGTATTAACTTGCTAGCAGATGAGATTGAATTTAAGAACAAATGTAGGTTTGAAATTGCTAGTTGATTTCATATTTTTCTTATTTCCAAATCTGCCCCAAGTTTGAATTCAGAATTATTTTTACATAGCTCATCAAGAGACACATTTCCTTTTGAACTTTCTGGGACAGTGTCTCGGGCTCTCACCACTTTGAACAGGGCATGGTAGGTGAATTCATTCAGCGAGAGACTCTGATCTTTGTAGAAATGGCTCAGTTATCTGTCTTCTTTGTCTTGTCACTGGAGAAACCATGGAGAAGCATTTACCTCCAGTTTAAAATTTGGATTTGTTTGACAAACCACACTAGATTCTATCAGAAGTAGAAGGGGCTTCTGCAACCTCCTTTGCTCGGGATACCAATTTATAGATATCTAGAGCTTGGTAGTTAATGCCAGTGTCAGGGAGAATGTTTGGGAAAGCAGCTGTCCTCTGCTTTTCTGGGCTTGGAAGGCAGCAGATGGGATATTTTTTATTTATGTAAGAGAAGTAGAATTGGAGAGCGATTAAAATATTTATGCCTTGAAAAGTACTTTCTTTCAGTTTCTCAGTATAGCAGCCTGCAGAATAATCCATTGATTCAGGCCATTGAGTTTGCATTCTATGTTTTTGCCTTTTATTACCAATATTTGAGAGCATGCATTATTCATTTTTATGGGTATTAGAAAAGTGCTAAGCTGCAGCTGGTTACTTCGGCACACAAGTGGCCCCATAATCATTTCTTTGAAGCCCTTATTTTTGAGCAGAGTAGGGAAAAGGATGCAAGTGATTTGAATATTTCAGGTATGGTGATCTCATTCAAAGTGACTGTGGATGACTGCTCCACTCTAAACATCCTAACAAGATACAAAATATGTATTTGTAGCGATGTCTCATAACCTTGCCCGTATATTAGAATCGCTTGTGTAGTTTTTGAAAACGTTGTTATTCCAATACTCATTAGAACCACAGCCGAAGTTCACTAGGGGAGGCAGGCACTTTAAGGTAGACTGTGCTTTGTGTGGCTAGGATTGCCATCACTTGACACATGACACACATCATCAACTAGGACAAATTGCGTGTGCTGATGGAGTTGTGTGTATGTTACTGGCTTCTAATACCTAGGTTCCAATCCTCACACTTGCACTCAAGAGCTCTATGGCTGAACATTTTAGAACAAAAAGGTAAATGCCCTCTCTCTGAGTGGTGTGATATTAAGTTGAAATAGTAAATGTGAAAATGCTTAAAGAAGTAAATGTCGGATGTAGCCATAAAGTATGGTGTTTTTTTTTTTTTTTGGCTTTAATAAGATAAATCCTGTCTGTGAAAAATGAGTAAATTGCCCTTTTCAAAAAAAGATATTTTGGGGAGCCATTATGGTAAAAGGAAAAAAAAGAAAAGTGAAGCCATGAATCCCATGTTAAATTCTAAATTGAATTAATAACCCATTTAACTTTGGCAGAAATGGACTTTGGGCTGAGAATTTGAAGGGTGTCAGCAGGGTCTTCTTTCCAATAGTTACATTGGGTAATTTCATTTTTCCACGTGACAGTCTGTAAGTCAGCCTAAACGTTGCTATGCCCCATCATTCATCAGCTGCTTAGTGGCTAGTGAGAGGTAAGGCCTCCCTAGCGGTGACCTAATTGTCCAGCCCTCTGCAAGGATAGCTGAGCCTTTTAAAAATGTTTGCTCATAACCGTGTCACTGTTTAGATGCTCTCAAAATCAGTGGTGTAAGTTGGGATCAGATGACTTTGCTACTCTTTCAAATTACCAAAATGGAAGAAACCAATGAGCTGAAAAATGCAGCCACTCTGGAGTAAAAGTACTATTTTGAAATGTTATACAGCATCCCCTCAAGCTAAGTGCACACGGTGGAGGTTAAAAATCTCAGGCTTGTGGGATGAGAATCCAGCGCTCGTAACAGCAGGGACCATGCATGGGAGAACCCAGGCTTGGTTAAACAAAGCCGCAGCTGCCTCTGGCCAGACCCTGAGCTGCATGCTTGTCAATGAGAGAAAATCTCAATGAGGAAGGATTGCAGAGAGCAAATCAGAAGGAAACATCCTGAGAAAGTCCCTGGAAGATTTTCCATAGCAAATAATCACCTCTCAGTCACAACTGGTGCGTTCTGGTATGGTCAACAAAGGAGAGTGTGCTGGAAATCGTAAAAATGCAGCAAACCCATGAATGAGAGTGGGAAATATGTCCACTGTCCTTGCTATGGGGCTTACAGCTTCCTGACTTTCTGAGCCTGCCTGAAAGGAGCAATTACATATTCAGGAGTCCCCTTCCTGGGCCAGCCCAACACCACAGTGATGCAGGCACTGCTCTGTTGGTGAGCAGAGCTGGCCTGGGGAATGAAAGGTGGTCTGTAACTCTCACCATGAATAAACATGAATCTTCTCATTTGCATGAGGCAGGTGACTGTAAAATATCTTGGAGCAAGTCGTGAAAGGAAGCTTTGTGCATCAGTGCCCAGGGGAAAGCGGGGGAGAACTCGGGGCTGTTTATCTTCATTAGAATTCCATCTCGTGTTGCTGTT